ATATCGAAGTCGTATTCTTATAGTCGCACCGCCCATCGGCCTGTGTAAGTAGTGAGCTTCTTCAACGCCAGCAAAGGTTCGTGATCTGTTACGAGGCGAAGCTTTTGTCCGTAGAGATACGGATGGAAGTGTTGGATTCCCCAGACTACTGCAAAGCATTCGCCTTGAGGCGCCGAGTCATTCCTCCGCTCGTCCGGCACCGTTCGCGATGCGTACTCAATGATATGTTCACGACCATCGTTCCCCTTCTGAGCTAGAATAGCGGAGATAGCTTCCGGTAACCAGTCCGTGATGAGAATGAACTGCTTAGAGGGGTCCGGTCGGATCAAAATAGGAGCCGTCGCCAGAGCGTCCTTGAGGGTTGCGAAGGCCTGTTGGCACTCCGCGTCCCAACTGAGAGGCTGGTCCTTCCGTAGCAGGTTTGTTAGTGGTCGTGCAATCGCAGCGAAACCTTTGATGAAGCGGCGATAATACGATGCCAACCCTAAAAAGGCTCGAACCTGCGTCAGTGACGTGGGAACTGGGGCATCCCTTACCGCTGCGACCTTTTTTGAGTCGGGCCGCAGTCCTCCACGTGTCACGACGTAGCCCAAGAACGAAATTTCCGAAAGGAAAAATTTGCTCTTTAGCGCGATTTTGAACCCAGCATCTCTCAGCGCTCCCAATGTCCACTCGATGTGTTGCGCGTGCCCGTGATAGGTCTCCAAGTAGACAAGGATATTGTTCATGTACACGATCACGCAAAAGTTGATCATCCCCTGTGTTAGCCGCATCTTGTTGACGAAGTTCTGGGATGTCATGTTCATTACTCGCTGAAACGTGGCAGGCGCGTTGCAAATCCCCATCGGACACCGAACCCACTGCCACGTGCCTTCAAACAACATGAGGGTTGTCTTTGGCCGATCTTCCTCCTTCACCAGAATGTGATGGAAGCCATGCCCAATATCGAACTTGCTAAAATAATTGGCGCAACCAATCGCATCTAACAAATCATCAATCCGGGGGAGGGGATATACATCTTTAATCGTAATTTCATTCAGCTTGCGATAATCGATGCATATGCGAATTGATCCGTTTTTCTTCGGTCCTAGCACTACGGGAAATGACCATGGTCTGGTGGCGGGTTCAATCCACCCGCTGGCTTCGAACTCCCGAATTCGTTCGAGAGTCTTTTTGCGTTCTATCAAGGAGTATCGGTACGGCTTGAAGTGGATTGGGGAATGATTCYCCATTTGTATTTCGTGTGGAATAACTAACGACAAGCCAATGTTTGTGTCTGTCACGCTAATCGCTCCTTGATATTCCGTCAAAATGTCCGCAATCAATCGATGAATGTCATCGGGTACGTACTATGGCACGTGTAACTCAAAAAGTTGGTCCCAGATTCGTACGTCTATCTGTTTTGTGCGTGCAGGTTTCGCCACATCGGGTAGGGGTGCAGAAATGAAGGAATGGTTCGATCGCCACGAGAACACCGTGACCATCATCTGGGCGTCTTCTTCCCGAATGGCCACGTGTCCTTCAGGGGTGATTCTGTCACAGACATCCTGCCATCGTACAGTTTTAGTTGCGATCTTTACTCCMAGTTTGTCTGAGTCGGCTTCGGGGCGCCCAGGGGGTTCCAAAGAACTGGCTTCCGCCCCTWAGCGCCGCAGTCGCACTTCTTTTGCAGGTGTTAATAGGGACCTTGGTAGATCTCTAATGTCGCAATAATGCTTTTTGTCGCTGTATCTGGCGAGAAGTGGGGCGATTCCTTCGTACAGGGTTTGAGGGGGTTCCAGAGAATCGACCATCCTCAAAATCTGTACGAGGGGCTCACCTAAAATCATTGCCTTAGTCCTTTTAATGTTTCGACTGGTTAGATGCATCATTCTTGCGATTGTTCTGGGTGGCGTGTAAAAAACGTGCTCTCGCACTAGCTTCAGAATCTCTAGGTCATTCTCATCACTGTTGTCCGCCTCATTTGTTGATGACTCCCCATCCGCGGGTTCTTCCCAAGAGATCATACGGAGAGTTCCTGCCATCATAATCGAAACCCGTGGGACCACGTTGATGGTAGTACGAAGGGTTAGTCTCATAGGCACAGCATAGGGTTTTCCTCCTGTGTTTCAGAGGACAGTCGACCGTCGTTCGAAATCCAGGTTCGCTCGTAATGCCACAAGATCAGGAAGTCTGAAAAGAACGTCGTAGGTATTTACATCTAGCACGACGACATCTCCCTGTGCGTGCACCTTTCCTAATCGGAAAGCGACGTTGGTCATCCTTCCCACTGTTTTAATYTTTTCTTCGTCGGCCGAAACGAGCTGATCTTTCTCGGAAAGCATGATCAGATCGTTTTTCCTACCTGCCCTCTCAACCACTCTCAGTGGGATAGCCAAAAYCGCAGCTCCCGAATCGATGATTGCATTGTACGGAATTCCCCAAATTTCGATATCSCATTCTGCGAATTTCCACGGGATGGGTTTGATCCGTAGGAAATGATCGTCTTTCTGGATTAACCCTACCCGAATCGGATCYGAAGTTCCTGCCGTATTTTCCTCTAAGTAAGTCCCTTCTTCACGTTCGTTGCTCGGGTCAGGGCGAATCATTTCCGGTTCGCCTTACAGTGTTGTAGCATTCGCTCATTGGCTTGTTCCGAGATCGAGAGCAAGTGGCCGATCRGAAGTGGAATCCGATGGTCCAAGGCTCGAACGATGTTAAGCACATCGATTTCCCCAGTGACGAAGGTGAGTCCTCTCGACTCCATCTCACCTGGAGAAGGTTGCCACTCTGCCACTTCTTTCWGTTCTGGGGCCGGTCGGATTGTTCCGATCATTCCAAGCCCGGGATAACCAAGTGATACGTACTGATCTAACGGGATGAGCTCAGCGGCCTCTTCCGTGGTGGCTAGGGCGCTTCCCMCACCCTCTACTTCTTCCATTAAAGCTCCGACTCGTCCTGGTCCGTTAGCGATGRRGGCCGCGGCCATCGGCGCGACCCCGACACGTTGTTGCGGAGGTCTATRATGGCAATCACGGGCTAGATGCCCTGGTTGATGACATGCATAATAGACGTTTAGATTGTTTGCGACTCCTCCAAGAGCGGGTGTCGGGGCTAACCCTTGCTGAATCGGAGGGGCACGCAYCGCAATGGGCCGCATGTTCCTCATCATGGCTTCCAACCGAGCATTGTGCTCTCGCTGCTCCTTTTTGCTTTCCTGAATTAGGTTAATTAATGTTTTGGTCAGCTCAAAGATAGCAGTGGACTCATTGGTTCTTGTCGGGTTTTCAACGGGTGGCGGGGGTAACGCCCTTACGGGTGTTGGTATCACTGGAACAAGAATACTCGGGATCTCACTTGGGATTAGTCATTTGGGACCTATCTGCTCCAGATAGGTGACGCGGCTTGACACAAATCCCATGTTTTCAAACTTGTTCTGTAATGCAGCCAGCTCAGCTCTYGCCCTSGCAAGTTCAGACGAATCTCCTTCCCTGGAATAATCTTCTTCTTCCAAGAAGTTCGCCGCGAACTTTCGTTCCATTTCTTCTGCAGCAGTCATGATCTGTTGCAGCGTGTGAGTGATGGGTGAAAATTCTTTTCGCAACTTAGCCCTTATCGTTCGGCTACGAAGGCCATCTATAAACAAATCTCTCCCGAATTGCTCACCTCGCTCAGTTTTTACAAACATTTGRTAGAACCAGTTTCGGTACKCTACGACAGACTCGAGAGGTTTTTGTACTCGGTCTTTTATCATGTMGAGTGCTTGCTCTAGGTGGACATAATCAAATCGATTCAGGAAATCCCGTTCGAAGGTCARAAGATCAACCCATACATAGGTACTAAACCAATGATATGCGTCCCCTCCTAATCAAGCAGGAATGTTTATCTGCGCTTCGTTGTCATCATACTATTGTGCTCTAAGCGTGGCCAGCCATGCTCCTGCGAGATGATGTGCTGGATCGAATAGATAGAGATCAGGTGGCGTCATGGGAGCCCGTGCTCGTGGGGCGGGTTGATTAGGATTCGGTTGATTAGCATTTTGTTGTGGATTCGGGTTTTTGCACATTAGCAGCCATATTGGCTGCTTGTCGATTAGCCGATCTGTGTCGGGTGATGATAGGGTCGCGTCTATGCTCGTTCCRAGGGCGAGGCCGCCCTCGGTTAGCCAGATCGCCTAATTAAYGTGCTATCAATCCTGAGACCCAGCCACGTGTCGGGCTCCGATACCAACCTCACGCCCAGCRCAACTTCCTGATCGGAGTAGGATGTGGGACTGGAAGTTCGAAAAGAGGGTGTGCCAAGGATTTCTGGGAAAGTGGAGTCCCAGGTCAGAACTGAGATCTCTTGTGACAGGGTCTTCCGGGGGCACGAGTGCAATTTGGCGGAGAGGGCGTCTTCGGGTTACACGACAGATGGTATACSTGGTTCGCTCAAGACCGAGYGAGCCATTGGTTTCGGGGACGGCGGTTCGTGGGCGGGTCCCTTCGGGGTATGTGGGGTTCCGATGAGTCCGTCTATCGGTAGTTGCCACGTGGCGCTGGTCGTCGCACGTTCGGGTTAGGCCTCCGGAACTYTGGGGTTCTCAGATCGTCTCGTCGTCGACGGTTCCCGAAGGGTGTGCTGGGCCAGTAGGGGGTTATGGCCGRCCACGAGACGATGCTGAGTTGATGATACGGAAGAAGAAGGCGAAAGGGAGGGAAACTGGTGGTGATGACGACAAATCCGAGGTGGATGAAGTAGTAGGTATGGTCCGGAGAAGGGAAATCAAAGCACTGGGGGTCGCTGGTAGTGGCGCAGTGGAATTCCCGGGGACACAGTCGGTTCTCAGTTAGGCAGGGGTATCTCTGTCTCAGAATCTCGTTTATCCAAGGGGTGAAGTAATCTGGGTCGTATGATGAGTCGGAATTCCAGGATCGCGTCATTGCGTCAGCGGTGTTACGAGTTGCCTAAGGGCGGGTCTGTGGTGATTGCGATCGCCACGTGCGAGCACACGCAGGCCACGCGAATGGCGTCGGACTTACGCATGCTCGTGCGGGACGACTGCGCCGCTGCGGATTCCGGGACGGCCATTCCCAATCGGATAGGGCATCTGCGATCGATGGTCTTGACGAGTCGACGCCGAGGGCATACCTGTAAGTGCGCAACTCAGATTGCGAGGCGTTCGCCAAGCCCGACATCCGATCGTCTAATCACTCCGTGATGTTCTGAGCATGCAAGATGCAACGATCACAAACAGCTCGATCAAAAGGCAAGCAAAGACAAGGACAAAATTATCGATTGCGCAAAATTCCTATTCTTCACACGAGTGCATCGAAGGCGACAAACAAAAGCAAGGACAAGGATTCCCAGCAAAAAGATAAACAAGCAAGCATAGCATCCATACAATCATACATTCGGCAATCATACACACAGTGCATCCGAAGTKGAAATTGCAAGGATMAGTGCGAGCAAAAACCCAAGCCCRAATTCCGATAACAAAAATCGGGCAAACTCCCCAGAGCCGAAATCAAAACTTATATACACGAGACAGGAGGGAGAAAAGATAAAAGAAACAGCAACTCTGCGTCCATCAACCTCAACTCTCTCTTCCTCTCTCTCTTCTTCTCCGATACGGACAGTCCGTCGTCGCGCACCNGTGATGTTCTGAGCATGCAAGATGCAACGATCACAAACAGCTCGATCAAAAGGCAAGCAAAGACAAGGACAAAATTATCGATTGCGCAAAATTCCTATTCTTCACACGAGTGCATCGAAGGCGACAAACAAAAGCAAGGACAAGGATTCCCAGCAAAAAGATAAACAAGCAAGCATAGCATCCATACAATCATACATTCGGCAATCATACACACAGTGCATCCGAAGTTGAAATTGCAAGGATCAGTGCGAGCAAAAACCCAAGCCCGAATTCCGATAACAAAAATCGGGCAAACTCCCCAGAGCCGAAATCAAAACTTATATACACGAGACAGGAGGGAGAAAAGATAAAAGAAACAGCAACTCTGCGTCCATCAACCTCAAYTCTCTCTTCCTCTCTCTCTTCTTCTCCGATACGGACAGTCCGTCGTCGCGCACCAACCCACAAAGTCGTCACCCCGCTTAGTCCTCCCGCACCCGTCARGTTTGCCCGCGCCCACAGTCCGCCGTGGCCCGCGTCAACCCCACACGTTTGGTACCAKCTCGTCAGGTCACCCGACTCCTGCTCTACTCACCTCTTACTTCGCTCGTGTGCCGACCCTCTCTGATCGCGCAACCCCGAGYTTCMRACAACTGGTTAAGAGAGTTAACTAATCGYGCAGCCGAAATTTATAGCGTGCATGCATGCGCGAAAAACACGGAATTAAAAAGACTTAGGAGGGACAAGGGAGGAGGGATTGCCTACGTCGGCATGACCTGATTTCGGCGTGGGGGACGTAGCCGCTCTCCACTCATCGATCCGATCATGCAGACCGCGGCTACGAAAAACGCAGCAAAAGAAAGAGAAGAAGGGCAGGAAAGACGAAGCGCAAGAAGAAAGATACAGTTACAATGGCGCCCGCCCAAAATTACAGTTACACACACGATTAAAGGCGCCTACTAATCAGAGTTCCGTTGCAGCCGCATGAAGAAGCGCGTAGACAAAAAGCGTTGCGCGACAAGGAAAATCCTAATTACGAAATTCCTAAGTTCCTGTCTAATGTGAAAAGCACAAATTCCATAAGAAAAGTCCGAAATTCCGAGAGTCATCGGGGCTCGACAAAATTCGAAAAAGATTTAAAAGACAAATCCAGAAAGAACGAAGCAATTTCCCGCGCGATGTCCGCGCCCAAAAGTTTGGAACTGAAACAAAAGAAACGACGTCTACATTTATCGATCGCGAGCACGGCGGCGCGCCAGCCATTCGGTCAACCAATCAATCAACCGGCTGTCCTAGGACACACCCGGCCCCGAACCCA